ATTATGCAGTCTTATCTGTGAATTCACAGTTTAACCTAATTATCTATGTTAACTCGCTGTTAACTTTCTGTTTGCCTGTTACTTTTCAAACTTGGCGTTCAATTTTAGGCTCAACGGTTACTGCAACAGCTCCCTTAAGTTATACGACTATATATTTTATAATGCATATCTATTAAATAAGAAATGAACAGTTTAGCTAATTTAAAACAAATATTCGGTATTACTATTCTTAAAGCTTTGTAATCTGTAAACATAAATGATATATTACAATACAATAATAGACTTCAAGAGCATGATATCCTGGCTTAGGCCAATGCCAAAGGTCTTGGACTAATTTAATCTTTAATTTAATTTTCCATATGCTATCAAACATTTTCACTTTATTGGGAACATTCTTACATGTTTTTGTATATATACATATTTATATTTACTTATATATATTTACATATTAATTGTATGACTTCTTAATAACCTGCTCAATATATTTTCTGAGAATTTTGATTAGTAATCCCAAGTAAAGCTTAATGTTTATATTTGCGTAAATCAAAAAATTTCCAACGATCAACATTGCTTGGACTTTTTGGAAAAACAATTTGCAATTGAAATTCTGCTTTGATGATGATGAAGACAAATACACAAATACAGAAAACACAAAACACACATAACATAGTAAACTTGTCCAGTTGACTTCTGGGCCTGGGCCTTGTCACCTCTCTGGCTTCCTTTCACATGTCCTTATGTTTTTGACGGCCCCGAATACTAATGAGCTAGCCAAGCAGCTTTCTCTCCCTCTCTCTCTCTCTCTCATTCGTTCCATATGTATATAAATATAAATTTCTTTCCTCTCTCTCTCTCTTTCTCTTTCTCTTTCTCTTTCTATTACGGCTGTCTTTCTTGTGTCCTTCGCCGGCAGTTTTTACTGAGGCGAACAAATTTATTGCATACTTCCTGTTTTTAAAAGCAAAGGCCTCGCTACTTTATACATTGAATGTGTTTGTGGATACTCGTATGTGTGTGTGTGTGTGTATATTCAAATACATGGAATATCAGTTGGCTATTGTTTGTTACTGCATACATCGATCGACGCGATGGCAACTGCCACGGTTGATTAACGAGTTTCAGTTTGGAATCCTGCGCAACATTTTTCCACTGATTCGCATCTAGCGGACTTTAACCCATCCTTCCTTCAGCCCCTGCCTTGCTCGTTGGTGGCGTCATGCTGGCGCCACACAGCAACAAAATACATCAACAACAACAGCAAAATGCCCGAGGAAAATTACAACAATTAAAAGAGAGACAACCAAGTATAGTTAAAAGGCTTGCAGTCGAGCAGTGAGTGTGTGTGTGTGTGTGTGTGTGTGTGCGGAAGAGGGGGACTGACAGGACCGTAGCTGCATGAATGCAAATGACAACGAAGGCAACTGCAACTCGGTGGGTTATTAACGACGAAGCCCCGAAGTGGGTCCAACCACAATGGAGCACAGCTTGTGCGGCTCAAGCTGCTAAAGGGATTGCGCTATAGCTAACAGAAATCTTAATAAATAATAAATAATAAATAATAAATAATAAATAATAAATAATAAATAATA